ACCGTGCCCAGAAGAACCTGGGAGCACCGCCAGGTGAAGACGCCAGAGCCGCACCCTGCCGGACCCGCAGGAGAGCAGGGAGAGGCGAAGGAGGCGGTCTACACCCATGACACAGGGAAAACCGTGGTGTCCTAACCACAACTGGGAACCAGGACACCCCCGGCGCGAAGGGGCACATACCGCAGCCAGGGAGAAGAACGAGAGACGAAGCACTGTAGCAAAAAGGGCGCAGAACACCAGCACTGAAACACCGCCCAGACCAAAACAAACTCCATGGCGCATGCGCATAACACGCTGGCCGAACCGCACACCCTCTCTGTGGGAAGGCGCCAGCCAGGACTACTGCACGAGAAAAGGAGCCAAAAGAGGAAGCAGGAACAATAAAACCGGCCAAAGAAGCAAAGAGCCCAAAAAGGAACCCAACCGGGCCACAAGTAGCCCAACCGGGCCACAAGTAGCCCAACAGGGCGACAAGTAGCCCAACAGGGCGACAAGTAGCCCAACCAGGCGACAAGTAGCCCAACCGGGCGACAAGCAGCCCAACAGGGCGACAAGCAGCCCAACAGGGCGACAAGTAGCGCAACAGGGCAACAAGGACGAGGAGCCGACAGACGTTCCAATAATGCGGGAAGTAGCGAAAAACCTTCCCGTACCCTCGAGAACACAGAAGCCAACACTAGTCCCGAAGGCACACGAAGGCGCAGGCGCACCCGAGATCAGAAGTCACGCAGAACCCCATCGAACGGGGAAACATGACGAAAACACCGTCCCAAAAAGGGGTGGGAGGAAACATCCACCCACAGGACGGAACCAACCGACTCAAAGGCCAAGGAACCGAGCCCGGGGAGGGGCCGACGCCCAACAGCACGTACGGCGAGTGGGGAGGAAAGACCCCACTCCGCGTAACCACAAGCCCCGCCTAGAGGGGGATAAAAACCCCCACGGGGCCCAACGGGGCCAAGGCCCCCCAAGTCAGCCCCTCCCCAGCCCCGGGAACCTACACGACAGGCCCCGGGGCCGAGCCGTTCCCCCAAAGCCCCGGCCGTACCAGAAAACTGGGGCAGCCGTGAAAACACTAAGGAAGGGAGCCCACTGGCAGACTCGTACAACACGGCTGGAGGAACAGGCTCAAATGCCCCCGTCACAACCCCGGAAGGGGAATTCCCCGAGACTGCCCGAGTCTCAACACCATCAAAAACCCCGCCCCGAACCTACAGACGGTAAGGAACCGGATGCAGGCAGGAAGGGTGAACCAGGGGAAAGACAAGGGGGCGTGGATGGAACCGAAGCAACCAACACCCCCAAGTCCCAAAACGAACTACAACGGGGCAGCCCCGGGGCTCCCGGGGAGGAAACCACGAGAACGTTGCCACCACCAAGGCTCAAGTGCAACGCCCCTGCTGCCCGCACGCGCTTTGTCAGCACAACCGGGTAACCGAGCCCCAACGAGCAACCAAACTCGCAGGACTCCGGGTCGAAGGTGTCACCGACCCCACAGGCAGCAGACGGAGGCAAAACAGAGAGTCACCCAGAGACAAAGGGTGAGAGCAACCCTCAAACTCGCTGGAAGCGAGGGGGGAACTCTGGGGTCACATCCATCGGACCCACGCGCCCCCAGGGGTTTCCCAGGGTCCCGAGCGTTTACTATAAGAGGACTCGCGCTCAGGTAATCCCAGGCAGGGTACTGCTAACCAGCACCCAAAGCTACCAAACAACTTTCTAAGAGCTGAACCCCCGGGACGTGTACACTCACGGGGACCTAGGAGGGGGTACCACCAGAAAATACACAGAACACAAGGGGCAAGAACGAAGGCAGACCCCCCCTCCCACCAGGTAGATAAACAAAAAGAAAAAGAAAACCCCGCAAGAGGACAGCGTACCCAAGCGGAACAGAGCCGGCCGCTATGATTGGTAAAGACAAGCTGCACAGTACCCTGCGCCCCACCAGTGCAAAAACTGCCCCTTACTCTAAGGCGAACAAGGGAGACAGAACACCCGAGCACACAAAGAGCGGCCGAAAACCAAGCAGTAAACGGCCAAGCAGGGTCAGGACCCAAGGAACTTGTGGAAGGTGGCCCCAAGCCCCAAGGGCAGTACTTACAGGGCACCTAGGGAAGGGAACCCTAGGCGCATGCAGCCCGAGTACTGGAGAATCACTCCCGGCTCACGCACCACCTAGAAAACAGACACCACACTCTAGGTATAGTGCTGAAACAACCACTGGAGCCGGAGCACATAACCGTAGCCTATAGCATCAGCCGAAGAACTGATGGGTGGATAGCTGGCGTGGGAGGTCTGGGGCTCCCCCTTCCCCCTCCCGGGGAGGGGGGAGCTGCGCAGACAGCGGCGCGGTGACGTATGACGTCATGCTAGTTTCCTTGTTTTCTGTTGAGTTCTATCCACTAGTTCGGCTTTAGGTAGCAATTTTCACCAGAATAGGGGTTTGTTTTGGAATGCTTACCTTTCTGGATGCTTGACCCGGTCGATGGCAGACATAGAATGCTTCCAACCACACGGGGGTTTCTATAGGCCATTGCTCCCCTTGCCTCTCTGAGGGGGCCAGGTTCTGGCTCGTGGTCCCCGGTAGGCCCTAGAACTCCATACACATGACTGATGCCAAAGTCTGACATTAGCATATCAGCCGGTAAAGCTCCGGGGAGCCGACGGGGCTCCCCCCAGAAACCTCTACGGGAATGGTTCCCGAACGCCCCAGGGAAGATAACCCTGTCACGCAGGGGCAGTACTCACAGGGCGCTTAGGGAAGGAAGCCCCTAAGCGCATGCAGCCCTGGTACTGATGAGGAACACCTGGCCACCACACAACACAACACATGGCAGTGAATGCCACGAAAGGCAAACACCGCTTAGGAAACTGAGGCCAAAGAAGTGTCTGTCCCAGTTGACATTAGCTTGTAATGAAATGAAGGAAATCTTGCCATAACAATTTTGTGAAGGCAATGTATGACCATTACAAAACTAGATGAACTAATATATTGATGGAAAATGCTGTGGAATACCTCACTGTAATAGCCAAGTCTTAGCAACTGCACCAGGCTAACAAGAGTTCAAATCAGGGTTGCAAATGTTGTCCAAGGAGTTGTTTGTTTTGATGTGCTGTACCTTTCTGGTGTATTTTTCATTGGTTACTGTGGAAGTCTAGTACCCTAACTCCCCCCAAATTCCCCTGGCTTCTAATGAGGAAGCCAAATTTTGGTTCTGGTCTCCAAGTGGTGCTCGTGATTTGAACTTGATGTGATACCCAAGTTTCTTTATGCCAGGAGAGTAAATAGTGTACCTGGTTGATGGGGTTCTGAGAGTTCTTCTACTCCCCAAGCCCGGCCCGAGGCCAGGCTTGACTTGTGAGAGTTTGGTCCACCAGGCTGTTGCTTGGAGCGGCCCGCAGGCCTACATACCCACCACAGCCCGGTTGGTTCAGTACTCCTTGGAGAAAACAGTCTAGTTTCCTCTTGAAGATGTCCACGGTTGTTCTGGCAATATTTCTTATGCTCGCTGGGAGGATGTTGAACAACCGCGGACCTCTGATGTTTATACAGTGTTCTCTGATTGTGCCTATGGCGCCCCTGCTCTTCACTGGTTCTATTCTGCATTTTCTTCCATATCGTTCACTCCAGTACGTTGTTATTTTACTGTGTAGATTTGGGACCTGGCCCTCCAGTATTTTCCATGTGTATATTATTTGGTATCTCTCTCGTCTCCTTTCTAGAGAGTACATTTGGAGAGCTTTGAGACGATCCCAATAATTTAGGTGCTTTATCTCGTCTTCCACTGTACAGGTTCCACTGTACTTCTTCAATCTGTTTAGAACCATTTAGGGTGATCCTCAAAGGGTCAATCTTTACCCTTTTTTGTACCAGCCAGTTCTTCTGTAGTTGGACATTATCTTTAGTTCTACAGTATGACCTTCCACCAACCCAACAACCTTATCTACTACTTTTGCTGCTTCTTAGGCCTTTTCTGAGCTAGATATTATCCCCTTTTCTTTGCAACCAAAACTTAAAAGGGAATTACTTTGATCCATTGTGTGTTGCACCAGTTTTGGGTTTGATGCCAGTTACTTTCTGACTTCCAGTCTAATGTCTGTGCTTTTCTGATTGATGCAGTTTCTGGCTTCCTTTACTGCTGCTTCTATTATTTCTTTCTCCCTGGCAACTTCTGCATAGGTAAGTTGCATATCCTTATTGCACTGTTCTACTTCTCTGTGGAACGTCTTTGATCTGCAGTGATAGAACTGTTTTTCATGATGGATTTCCTATCCTAACCTATTGTATTCACTACTGTTCAGATTTGCTTTAACTTCTTCAAAAGCTATTTTCTGTACATTATTTTCTTCCTCCAGAGATATGCTTTAATCTTCCCAGTGTTTCTTGTCCTCACATAATTCCTTCATTTGCCCTTCAAAATCTGATACCGTACTTTGCTGCTCAAATGGTCATTACTTTCAAATTTCTGATTATTTTCAAATGATAGTTTACAATAATCCCTAATTTTGCCAACTTATTGTTGCAAACTGCTCATACTAATACTGTACTCGCTAAAGTCACCAAAATCTAGGGGGTGCATTCATGATGCAACCGGGGAGCCGGTCGGCTGAGCGGACAGCACACTGGACTTGTGATCCTGTGGTCCTGGGTTCGATTCCAGGCGCCGGCGAGAAATATGGGCAGAGTTTCTTTCACCCTATGCCCCTGTTACCTAGCAGTAAAATAGGTACCTGGGTGTTAGTCAGCTGTCACGGGCTGCTTTCTGGGGGTGGAGGCCTGGTCGAGGACCGGGCCGCAGGGACACTAAAGCCTCGAAATCATCTCAAGATAACCTCAAGATGTTTATGATGATGTTCATGATGATGTTTGGAGCTTACATTGCAATTCAGGAAACTATTTACCGAACGCCAATCTTCCCAAGAACGCTGCCTCATGCTACGACACCTCCAGACCACTCGTAGCCTAACTCAAGCCATACACAAGTCAAGTTTTTACTTACATTGTAGTGAGCAAGACACGCAGTAAGAGAGTTGAGTGCATGAGCCCTGTCATGGCCCCATACCACCAGCTTAGCTATCATCGGGTCATAATGCACCGACACCTCGTCCCCCTCTCTCACACCTGCAATTCAACATTCAACCATAAACTGAGAGATCAATTCATGTAACAAACAGTGTACTCAGAATTTCAATTTGTAAAATGAAAATTAATACATATAATGATTGTTGACAATTTAAAAAACCAGCGTTGAATGTAATGAAACGCCATTTTCTGGGTGAGCCCCAGAGGCTCCTGGAGCTTATCGGGCTAATGTATGTTATGTTAGACTGGGACATTCGCTATGGAGTTCAGATCTACCAGGGACCAGCGCCAGAACCTGGCCCCTTCAGAGAGGTTTCAGGGAGCAATGGCCTTGGAAAACCCCATATGGTTGGGGGTTTTCCTTATCTGCCATCGACCGGGATTAGGCACCCAGAAAGGTAGGGGTAACAAAACAAACCTCACATGGTAAGAAACTACAACAAAAACTGAACAGAGAGGTAGAAAACCCCCTACAATCCCAAGGAAAACAATCAAACAATCAATTTACTGCCACGCCGGTCGTCCGCGCAGCCCTCCCTCCCTGGGAGGAGGAGGGGGGCCCCCGGACCTCACCGCGCCGTCTGCCTAGCATTAGCAACTAGCATTTGCTGCCTAGCAAAACCCCTCCCCCTGCAACAATAATCCCCACGGGGAAGGCAAAAGCACCCAAGCGGGGTCACAGGGGGCCCAAGGCCCCCAGGCCGACTCCTCTCCAGCCCCAGGATCCCCTACGTCAGGACCCGGGGCAGAGCCGTCCTCCAAACCCTCTACCCCTGAAGAAAAGGTAGAGTCCAAGGGAAAGGCAGACAAGAAGGGAGTCTGCTGGTGGGACCCAGAAGCCTCGGTAGGAGGAACCGGCTCAAATGCCTCTGTCCCCGACCCAGATGGGGCAGCCCCCGAAGCAGCCCGAGTCTCACCATCAACTAAACCCTGTGCCAAGGCCGAAACCCGCATACATTTCGAAGCCGGACACAGGGGGGGAGGTGCAGGAAGAACCACAAGGGAAGGACCAGGAGGCGCGGCTGGAGCCAAAGCCATAGCGACCAACACCCCCAGGTCAGGGTCCCTAAAGCCAAAACGGGGCAGCCTCGGGGCATCCGGGTGGGAAACCAACCTAGCGCGTTGCAATAACCTAAACCTAACATGCAACGCTGATGCTGCCTGTACCCTAATAGGAACATCCTCAGAGTAAAACTGGAGCACAAGCAGAGAACATGACTCGCAAGACTCCGGGTCAAAGGTGTCATTGACCCAACAGGCAGCATGACGGAGGCAAAACAGGTGACTGTCACCCTGAGACAAGGGCACACTGCAACCTTCAAACCCGCACAAGGCAGGCTGGAACTCGGGAGACGCATCCATGGGTCCCCGAGCCCCGACAGGGGTTTCCAGGACCCAAAGGTTAGCAACTATGGGAAGCCCGGGCAAAGTGTTGCTAACCGGTTAAGAAACCCAAACAAAAAAGGGTAAATGATAATACTGAAAACCCCTGGGACGTGTACAAGCACGGGGGCCTAGCAGAGGTCCACCAAAACAATACCAGGGGAACTATGGACCCACGAGGCAGAACCTCCACCAGGCAAACAAAAACAAAACAAAACAAAAACCACGCAAAAGTATACCGTCCCCAGAGGCAACAGGAACCGGTCGCCGCTTAGGTGGCAGGCCGCGCAACACCTTGATGCCCTAACCAGCACAATACCACTCCCTACCCAAGGCCAAACAAGGGCCCTAAGCCCCAGCTGGCCCCAAGGGCGAGGCAAATGTCGAGCAGCAAGAACCTCTACGGGAGCGGTTCCCAAACACCCCAGAGAAGATAACCCTGACACGCAAGGGCAGTACTCACAGGGCGCCTAGGGAAGGAAGCCCCTAGGCGCATGCAGCCCCGGCATTGATGAAGTACTCCTGGCCACCGCACACCACACAAAAACAGCAGAGAACGCCACACGAGGCAAACACCGCCAAGGAATTTGAGGCCAGAGAAGGGTCTATCCTGGTTGACACTAGCTTGCGAACTGAAGGCAGCCGGCGTGGTGAGGTCCGGGGGCCCCCCCCTCCCCCTCCCGGGAAGGGGAGGGCTGCGCGGACGACCGGCGCGGCAGTAAATTGATTGTTTGATTGTTTTCCTTGGGATTGTAGGGGGTTTTCTACCTCTCTGTTCAGTTTTTGTTGTAGTTTCTTACCATGTGAGGTTTGTTTTGTTACCCCTACCTTTCTGGGTGCCTAATCCCAGTCGATGGCAGATAAGGAAAACCCCCAACCATATGGGGTTTTCCAAGGCCATTGCTCCCTGAAACCTCTCTGAAGGGGCCAGGTTCTGGCGCTGGTCCCTGGTAGGTCTGAACTCCATAGCTAATGTCCCGGTCTAACATAACATACATTAGCCCGATAAGCTCCAGGGAGCCTCCGGGGCTCCCCACAGAAAAGGTAAAGTAACTATTTAGAGGAAACACTAAGTCTGTATGACTATATCACTTAGTAGGACATGAAGGATAAGGAGTTGGGATATGAAGACCAAGTGAAGAAACAAGTTCCCAACCACTTAGACCATCAAGCATTAAACACAAACCCTACAAGAATCAAAGCCATCACTGTACCAACTAGTCCAAGTGGTTGGTCTATATCTACCAATAATACAGACAATTTTAAGGTAAGTAACCAAGAGTTTAAAACTCTGACTAGAGAATTATAACTTGCGAACTTTAACCCTTAGACCGCGCAATACATACATATATGATTTGATAAAAAATAATTTAAGTTTTTAAAATGTGCTCCAACACCTTCCAATTTTTTTTTTTTGCATAATAAACTAGGCAAATGCTTCAACTTTGTCTAAATGATCAGAGCATAATTTGAAAAACAAGAGAATCAAAATTAATTTTAAAACTGAATATTGAAAACTTCAGATTTTCAATACAGAATAAAACATGTGAACTATCACCAATTGTTCATTTAATGTTATTATTTTCTCAGAACAGCATATAATCTTCATTTTCATCAAATTAGAATATAGGTTTTCAGTACAGTTAACTAACAAAAATTGTCAGTAGGGCATTTGAAATATGCGGCAAATTTAGACCCAAAAAACTATAACTCCAAATGTATAAAGTTTATGAAAAATCCATTCTGAAAGGATTGTAGAACAGACAGCTGAGCACACAATATGTCAAAATAGTGAGAATCGATCAAAAACTTGAATTTTAGAAGCCACTCAAAGTTGAAACTCTAGCTTCAGAGATAATTGAAGTTGAAGTTATCAACAATAAAAAACCAGCGTTGAATGTAATGAAACGCCATATTCTGGGTGAGCCCCAGAGGCTCCCTGGAGCTTATCGGGCTAATGTATGTTATATTAGACCGGGATATTAGCTAAGACGTTCAGACCTACCAGGGACTAGCGCCAGAACCTGGCCCCTTCAGAGAGATTTCAGGGAGCAATGGCCCTGGAAAACCCCCTTGTGGTTGGGGTTTTCCTTATCTGCCATCGACCGGGGTTAGGCACCCAGAAAAGTAGGCATAACAAAACAAACCCCACATGGTAAAAAACTAAAACAAAAAAAAGGAAGAGAGAGGTAGAAACTCCCTACAATCCCAAGGAAACAAGCAAACATCACACTTTACTGCCGCGCCGATCGTCAGCGCAGTCCTCCCTGCCTCGAGAGGGGGAGGGGGGAGCCCCGGACCTCACTGCGCCGGCTGCCTAGCATCAGTTCGGAAGCTAAGCTTCAACCAACGTGAAAAACCGCCGACCGGTGGGAGGGAGGGTTGCCAGGGAGCCTCCGGGGCTCACCCAGAAAATGGCATTTCATTACATTCAACGCTGGTTTTCTGTGGGGAGCCCCTATGGCTCCCTGGAGCTTCGTACCCAAAGAGAAGGAAAAGAAAGGGCTGACCCGGGAGGCGGCCGCCACAAACTCTGCAAAGCGAAGCCGAGACAACAGGCTGCAACCTGTGACCCAAGGCAACAAGAACGCATAGGAGCAGACGCGCGCATAAAGAATGGGCGGCCAAGAACCTGTAAGACCCTCAAATCGTTGCGCTCGAAATGAGATGAATGAAATGACGTCACCAACACAGCAGCGAAAGTTGCAAACGTCCAAACAGCATGGGTGCAAGGACAAACCGCAGGCTGGAAGACTTAAAAACTCTGATGACGACCTTAGAGACCCGAGCCCTGAAACTGGGAACAAGGGGGAACCTGATCAACTGAAACAGGGAACAAGGGGAACCTGATCAACCCAAAGCACATCCCCAGACACGGTACTTAGGAAACAGCAAAAAAGCGCAACCGGACAACACAGGACGCACCCCCGGCCAAACCAATCAAGTATCAATAACCCAAAGACACTTCCGGAAAGCAGCAGTCTCGACCGTCGCCAGAAGGACGGAAAAAGGCCGCAAACATACAAACCTACCACCAGTACCAAAGAGCAGAAACCACAAACTGAGGAATAGATAAGAGGGCACCCTGATCAAGGACCAGGATGGCTCAGGCGACGCATGAGCAGGCTGGAGGTGAAACAAAACACGAGAAAGCGTACGAAATGGGGCAGATGTGACGTCCACCCCGAACGCAAGCCGGAGCGGCTCCGCCAGCGCCCGCACAAAACGAGGCGACAGTAAGAAACATCAAATAACTGTAGTCCTGAAAACCCAAGAAAGGACAAGACAACCCGATGCAAAAGAGAAGACAACCTATGAAGATCAAGAAAAAGGTGCATAGAAACACCAGGAGCGTCATACTGTCGCCGAGATGAAGCTCGCAGGTGGGACACCATCAACAAAGCCACCTGGTCACCACAGAGATGGTGATACCCGCGTCAAGATACCAGACGCAAAGAGCCGAGGAGAAGGCCGAACCAGTCACGTACAGGACCGGTCCGACCTGCTGAAAGAAGCGGAGCCTTGGGAAAACGCCCCGGGTTCGGACACCTATCAAGCAGTGTCTGAAAATAAAGCTGGGCCAGTCACCAAGGGACCATAAGGACTACTCTTGTGGGAATGGGCTCCAACCGAGCCAGAACCCGAAGCAACAGCTG